GTTCAATCAATCAGTCACCTGGTAGAAGTAAAGCCTACTAGACAAACCACCAACATCAAGCTCCCAAGTTCTCGGATCACCCACCCAACCATCACCTAACCGGGTCGGATACCCATATTCACCCCAAACCGGGTGAGGCAAAAGCTGAAGAATCTCTTGAGCTTGTGGGTTACTAAACGGATCACAAGTCCCCACCGGAACCTCGAGATGCTCGGCGTTTCCCGGCGCACAGTAAACATGGTAAGCCTCGTAAGGGAATCTCCGGTTATCCGTCCGGTGAACTCTCGTACCGTTTCGAAATGTATGGTACGGTGGACAATTGTATAGACTCTTTGAGTTGCACCAAAGTGCGGTTTTCGGGTTTATGATCATCTCCGAGTAACGAGTTACATCTGTGGTTACGTCACCGTCGCAAGGCTTACCGTTGTTTTTCCAACAGCTTCCGATGTCGACAAGGTAGAATTGACTCTTTTGTCCTCCTCCTTGTTTAATGTCTAGTGTTAGTCTCACCTTGAAGTTTGGTGATTCCGGAAGCTAACAAAAACAAACTAACATTTCATCAAAATTGGAAGGATACAGAGTATATTAGCATGGCCCCTGCGCAATGATACACGCACAAATCGAAAAATGGTCCAAATTTTTTTAATTTTCAGAAAGAAAAAACAAACATTTCATCAAAATTAACACACAAAAGATTACATTTCATCAAAATATGGACTTACTGTTTTGAGCATTCCTCTAGTTTCATAATGATAACCACCAGAGAATCCTTTAGTTGCATCAGCTCTAAGGTAAAGCATAAGCCATGGATACTTTTTTGAAGTCTTAAGCTTATGTTTAAACACCCAACCACCAATACCAACTCTCTTCTCCCACACAACCTCGTAATAGCTTATCCCATTGAGTCCATTTCCCAGACCTGCCTCGAGTTCGTACGTACCGTTAAACCAACCCCTCATGGTTTGACCGTCACTCAGAAGCTCGGTTTTACCGTGGTTCAGTACCGGTTGGTTCATACAACCGGTGTCGAAACAAGGGAATTTTCCCAGTTGATTGAAAGGTGGGATTTTTTTACCGTTTTGAGGACAAAGACCGGATTTTGTGTCGTAATTTCCGTTTTTGAGCATTACCATCCAGAAACTCCATGGGTTTGGTTTGTCTGAGACTTGACAGAGAGAACCTAGATAAAGCTCTTTTTCGACCGCGTAAAGGTCAGGGTTTTGTAATGCTGCTTCTGATATGATTCCTGGTTTCTCCATTCCGATGCCTAGCTTGTTATCCAAGTCTGTTACCTTGTGCATCAAGGAATAACCACCTGCTAGAAATTATAGGTTTATAAACAGAGGAAACAGAGACATCAGAAACAGAGGAGGTATAAGTAGAGAGCTTACTTGTAGAGGAAACATCGAAGCAATCGGCGGCTCGAGGACTACCCATATGAGGAGCTTCAAAGCCAACCTCATTGCAAAAGTTCCAAGCTTCAAACGCAACTCTGAGACCATCTCTCTTCATCCCGGGATCTCCAACCGCCGATGAATGCGGTGATGGAGATCCCTCGTAGCCATGAACCTGGAGAATCACTGAGAAGATTAGAGCCAATTGCTTCATTTGTTTCTGCATTTAGTATCCTTCGTTTGTTTGTTTTTTCATTTGTAAGAGCTTTTCTTGGTGTGGAGTGTAGTGGTAGTTGGTGAATGATTCAATGTTGTAATAAAAGCTTTTCAAAAGTCAAAGAAGCTGTTAGTCTTCTTTGTTATCTTAGTGGCGATTAATCAGGAATCAAACCATGACTTGCTCTTCTTGAATCTTGATCCAAATTTAAGCAAATGTTTTAAAATCTCAAATTCATATATCACACATTCTAAAAATGCATTGTGTTTTTGAGGGATTTTCTTTAACCAGAAGAATCAAAATCTATACATCGGCTTAAGCCAAGTTGAAATCCTAATCAATTGAACCGGGTGTTTTGGCTTGTGAATGCAATCATACAATTCATTGCACTCTAGAGAGCCAAAACATGATAAAAAAAACATTTTATGTAGTTAGGCCCATGGGCTAATAATGGCGGATTCAGTGGGTTCTCGGGCCGGGTCAAGATTAGTTTGAGATTACGTGGGGAAGGATTTAGGTTTAGTTGACACTTGTTATGAATCTTTAAATCTTTAATTTCCAAATAAGTGGGAATCGAATGGTTATAATGGTTCACTTTTTTTTTGTCGGAAAAATGTCTACATCTATAGAGAAAATGTCAAATTGTAGTTGAACGGCGATAAAGATAATCAAGTAGAATTTGTTTTGTTTTTTGAACAAGATAATCAAGTAGAATTAGTGAATATAGTTTCTTCTATATTGTCTCTGATATCCAATATGAATAGAAGATGTTTTACTAATACTTATAGAAATTTCGTCGAAACGAAAGACAATATACTTGAAGTTTTAACAACTTTAAAACTAATATTCATGGAGAAAAAGTAAATCCATTAATTAAAGGTCTCGAATTATTTAGACTATGTTTTTCTAAGACCGAGTTTTAAAATGTTTAAAAAGAAAAACGTTTTGACCATTATTTTTCACACTACAAACTAGGCTATTACACAAAATAGTACTAATACAAATTTGGTTGATGGCTGATTATAAAATGGTGTGGTCACTGTTGTATTGTTTGGAAAAATATTGCAAGTAGTAATTTATTTTTTGTTAGAAAGGAGTACTTAATTTGATAAATATACGTGCGTAAGAGATAAATATAGAAAGAGCATTTATGTCAGGAATGACGTCAGGCTCTTTTATTGGTACATAGATAAGATTCATTGATTCTGAAATTGCGCAAAGAGAAAAGTAATGGAAGACAAGTCGAAAGAAATGTCTTTTTTTTTCTGTCATTTTGACTTTTATTTATTTTCTTCAACTCGATAATTAATTTTCACTTGTTTCTTGCTCATAAAGTAAACTTAGACTCACGTGGTTCCCCAGCTAACATGTTGCAAATATTTTTTTTTTTTTAACAAGGGTTAACATGTTGCAAATATTTGATCAGATAGTAATATAATTTTATAGTAAACTTATTTAAATAATAATAATTTTATAAATTTATAGTAATGCTTAGCTTTACTGTAAAATAATCAGTAAGATTTAGATTTTTGGGAATCCGATCCTTTTTTTGGGGGGGTTCAATACGAATGTATAATACCTAATTTATGCTTCACAAACGCAATTATCATTACAAACTTTACTACTCCTAAGAAATTGGATTTCGCACTTGTCATTGTCACTCAACTAATGCGAATGAGAAAGTCAACTATATTAACCGATGGAACAACAATTTTTTGCTTTTTCTGAAATTGCTTAGTTTGTGATATACCATTTTTAAAAAGAAATCAAATAATGTTATTATAGATAGTTTTTTTTTTTAGTTGGTGAGAGATTTACACTAAAATGTTCTTGGTGAAACTTGTAATTTCTCTCTAGTCAATACTAGCTACATATATGCTTAATAATTAATATGCACATAACACAAACACGTAAATACAAATTTCAAGTTTTTAAATATTTTAAATGAATTATGGCATATGCAGGCTGCTAAAACATACTAGCTGATAAGCTATAATAAGTTAAACAGTAATGAATGAAAACACTAGATTATTAAATAATTAACCGATCCTGACATAATAAAATAATAGAGTTGTAAGTTGAACAAAACAGCTAAGATTACTCTTTCCCATCAATTTAATATTTGGTCAGACAAGAAAAGAGTATATATAGTATTAGATTCATAAAGACCATATTTATTGATTTTCCATGAATTATAATAATTATTTACTTGACATTCATTTTTTCTCTTTCTTTTGAGCAAGTCTCGGCTTGTTCGTCAAGAAATAAACAGAGCATATATACTCACAAATTTCACT